TTTCCTCTCTAAAATCTTGAACCTTTTGATGAAATAGTTTAACATAGTATCAGAAAAGATGAAGGTCTAAAATTCAATTATCACTCTTTTATGAAAGTTTTGCATGCGGAAGACCTTTAATGGAGAAATGAATCTTGATGGCACATGAAGGGGATGAAGGAGATCCAAATTCAAGGGTGAAGGGAAGCAGGGACAAGAAATTTAGCAATCGAGGGATGAAGGAGATCCAAATTCAATATAGTTGGATCGTGAGATACCCGAATAAAATGTGTGAACGCACAAATGTATGTACGTATAAACATAGCAGGACGTTACCTTGAGCAAATCAATCTCTTGCTGTCAAGTCCAAGCATCCAACTGTTCAACAACAACATTATTCAAAAGGAAAAGCCACAAATTCAGGGGAAGAAACTACAATAAATTTCAACAAAACACGACCAATTCAAATGAGAAGCTAGAAAATCTGAATATTCAACAACCATATTCTTTGCTAGCTAACATAGTAAAAATAAACATAGAAAGGAGGGAAAAAAATTGCTTAAACCGTTTGCTTGCCACAAGAACGGCATTAAGAAGCCCAATTGCCACCGTCGCACTTCCACCAAAGGTGACCCGTTTCATTCAGCTGACATTCCCCTTAATGGATCTCAGCAGAAATAACCTGGAATATTTATAGTCATAAAGAGAGTTAATGAGGCAGTGAACCGAACCAAACAGAGCAAAAATGTTACGAAAGCAAATCCAAAACTTCATAAACAACCTTATAAAGATGAATATCTTAAACCCAAAATCTTCATTCAAAATCTCATATCTGAATGCTGAAACCCTGTAGAAAATAGCAAATAGAGTGTACAATAAGTGCAGATTTTACTTAAATTGCAAATACACTTGTGTGCGTAAATTCGTAAACACCGACCAAATCATATTCGTCTTCAAAAGTAATGACATACAGAAGAACAAATCCTGTTATTTTACAAAAAATACTAAAAATATAGTCCTCGGTGCACTAAAAATGAACACAGAAAATAAAAAGGGAAAAAATGAATATACAATAATAATAGTAACAAACTTAGATTGAGCAAAAACTGAAAATTTTAAGCTAGATCAAGATAAAATATAAGAAATCTAGCCCAAGATTTTCATAAATAAACACAGAATGCAGAAAGAAAAGGAAAACAAGTCCAGAGAGAGAACGATAGCGATATGGTACCTTGTCAGTTTCCATGGTGGCAGAGAGTTTCGCAGCGGGGTAAGGTCGTAGTTGTGGTTGTAGAGTTGAAGCTCGGTCAAAATCGTGAGAAAAAAGAAATAGAAAATGGAGGTTTGATTTGTACGGTTGTGTGGAGAATGAAGGAAAGAAGTATGGGATGTTGTTTGAGAAATGGAGAGAGTCAGACAAGAAATGACTGCCTCGATTGAAGGGGGGAGGGGGAGGGGGGGCAAAAAAATTCCACACGGCTTGGCTAATCGACTGGCTTAAAAACGGCTCGGCTATATGGCCATTTGGCTTAAGAACAGTGAAACTCATCCTTCTCTTTTATATATTGTAAGGATATATATATAAAAAGTAATAAAACAACGAAAATAAGGAATTGAGTCCCATAAATTTTCAAAAAGTATAAATAAATCCAACTTAAAATGATTACATATTAACACACAAAAAGATGAATTTAGAAAAAATAATTTTCCCAAAACCAACCCCACATAAAATGATTAAGTACATATTAAAATGATTCATCATCAAGCTCACCCACCCATGATCAAATACCATCTTCACAAATACAATCACGTCAATAACGATGATGGCACCGCCACCACTTAAAAAAAATTAATTCAAAAATATAAATATGTATTTTCCCAAAACCAACCCTGCCACCTATCGTAGCAGAACCACCACGGGCAATGGGCAATTCACCAGTCCTCTACCATCCTTTTGCAATAATAAAATCGCAAAAAAGGTTTAGGATTCTCGAAAACAAATCTAAACTATCTAGGTTATGATTTGGCTCTTAAAAATGGAAAGTGGAGGGCAAGTGAGGCGACCATATTCGATGGTGGTACTGCTGCGTTGGGTGATTTGGTTTGTTGAGAAAAATATATTTTTTATTTTTATTTTTTTGAAATAATTTTTTTAAAAGTATTGATAATGCCGTCGTCGCACGAGTTATTGCATTTGTGAAGGTGATGTTTGGTTGCGTATAGATGTGGGGGGTGGGTTGAGTGGATGGGTGGGATTTAAGATGAAATATTCACTTTTTCTAATTTTTGTATAATATCTGTTTAAATCTTTTATCTGAAATTTATTTTTATCTTTTGAAGTTATGTAACTTTTGTTGAGTTATTTTGAAGGTAATGTTAATGTATTAAATGTATTGAATTTTCGTAAATTATATTATCAATGACAAAATATGTAATAGATAGCTGACATATTGTTTTTGGTTGGTGGTGCCCTTCTTCTTCAATAGGTTTTCAAATTTGTGCGGCAAGGGTTTCTTCTTTTTCTAATTCTGTTGTTTTGATAGAGAGTTTCTAGCATTATTGAGATTTTCTATTGAAGGTAGCTCATTGACCTGATCGTAGCTTGCACTATTCTTAGTTTTTGAGTCCATTGCCAGCCAAAAATTGTAGATTAAAACTTGGAATATATTCATCGATCTATGATTCAAAACGCCTTCGCTCAAACGAGAAAGGGTTTTACCTTTCAACCAACATAAATAGATGGCCGCGACGAATCCTTCTTCTTCCTCATAGCCAGTCCGATGAAAATCGCCACCTTCCAATATGGCAAACTCTTTGTTGTAATTGTCGCTAATCCCCTTAGCAGAGGAGTTTCTTCTTCTAACGATTTTGTCGGGGATCTGAGATTTTTGAGGAGTCAAGGTAGATTTCTTGGATGGTCGAGATTTTATTTTGTTTATTTAAATAGTAGGATTTGGATATGTAGTAATTATATTGATAACTGTCCTCTCAAATCTATGGGATATGTTGTAATTAAGCCCCTGTTCGAGCCACATTATTTTTTCGTTCTCATTCTTCTACTCATTTTTAAACACACATCTTCAATAAAATAATATTTTTTATCATATCAATAACCTTTTTTTTTTCAATCATATATTCCCCATCATATAAAAAAAGAAGCATTCTTGGAAAAAAATGTACACCAAACAGGGACTAAAGTTTTATGTGTAAAGTCAATAGAGAGTTTAAAATTATGAAAGTAAATAGAAGCCAAGTTTTTAAGTCTCGATTATTCAAGGATAATTATTTTTTAAATCTTTTTTATAATTTATATCTTGACTGGGTAATCATTTATTAAGCTGATATAATGATAATTTTAAGCAATTTTGGTTTTTGTTCTTAATCCATCTATCCATCTTTTGACTATCACATTATAAATTTGATTTATTCAAAGTGTCTAATCTCAACCACAATTACACTAAAAAGTGATATTTTGGTGTTACCATTAATGTAAAAGTAAGCTAGTTGGACGTCAATGTCTTAAGCAAGATTCGTGGATAGACTCGTATTAGGTAGATCCGAGCACACCACTAGATCCAATAGTTTAATAATTTTTTGTTTAGTTTTAAAGATATCAATAAATACAAAATAAAATGAGAAAGATTTTATCACGACGACTTCTGAATTCTTCACAAAAATGTGTCTTCCACAGTAAAATTCGACAAACGGGATTTCAAAGTGGAAGTATGGTAGACAGCTAGTCTCTATGAGTAAGTTTATCTTATGACATGACTAGTTTTGAATCGTGCTTACCTAACTTACAATTTTCAAGCTACGAACAATGCAAATAGATTGGATTAGATTGGATTAAACGTATTATTAGATCAATGGTCGCCACAATGGAGTTTAATCATCCACTTCGGGATAAGATAATATGATTAAATACACCACTACTTGTACATGTATATCAGCATATGCATCGTAATGAAATCAATTAACCCCTATTTGACAATCATTAAATGGAAAAAAAGAAATCATATTTTGAATAGAGATTTTTAAGAGAAAGCGTGGTTAATGTAGGAAAAAATTTTAAGCTTACATGTACAATATTTTATTTTATAAATGTATGATTGAAAATGAATATCCAGCAACAAAATTTGAAAATAGCCGTTGCTATTAGTGGATTACGACATTATTCAAAATTTGGTTACTCTCTCTTTGTCGCCTTCCCTCATGAACTGAAATGAATTTTATCAAAAATTATTCCTTTAAATCCAAAAACATCTTGTTTTCTCGCTGTAATTTTATATCTTCGGTTGCATTACTTGAAAATCTGCCATTTAAAACTGAAGCGCATGCCGAAAATGACATTAAACTCGACCCAGTAGATTTCAACAATCAGTCCAAATCAAGAAATTTAACGCTCATAGAAACAAAAATTGCGCATGCCCTTTTACTTAAAACCTGTGTATTTTACTCCGATATCTTTACCACCAACAATCTGCTTGATTCTTACTTTAAATGTGGTCAGGTGGATTATGCGTTTCAGTTATTTGAAAAAATTCCCCAACCAAATATGGTTACGTGGAATTTGATGATTTCAGGAGGTAATAAAAATTTTCTTTTTGAAGACTCGTGGTGGGTATTTTGCCAAATGCATCTTTTGGGTATTGGTATGAATCAGTTCACTTACGGGGGTATTCTTTCCGCTTGTTGTGCTTTGGGTAGTGTGGTTTGTGGAGAGCAGGTTTATGGATTTGTCGTGAAAAACGGGTTCCTTTTAAATGGTTATGTGCGTGCTGGAATGATAGATTTATTCACAAAGAGTTGCAGGTTCGAGGATGCTTTGAGGGTGTTTTATGATGTTTCGTGTGATAATAATGTGGTTTGTTGGAATGCTGTTATGTCTGGGGCAGTTAAGAATAATGAGAATTGGGTTGCTTTGGATATTTTTGTCCAAATGTGTCGTCTAGGGTTATTGATACCGAATGGTTTTACGTTTTCAAGTGTTTTGACTGCCTGTGCTGCACTCGAAGAGCTTGAGTTGGGAAAAGGGGTTCAAGGATGGGTGACCAAATGTGGTGTAGGAGAAGATGTCTTTGTGGGCACTACTATTGTTGATTTGTACGTCAAATGTGGAGCCATGGATGAGGCTATTAAGCAATTTAAGCAAATGCCAGTTCGCAATGTTGTTTCTTGGACTGCCATAATCTCTGGTTTTGTTCAGCAAGGCGATTCAGTTTCTGCTGTATGGACTTTTGACAAAATGAGAAAAACAGGAGAAGATATTAATAACTTCACCATCACAAGTGTGCTTGCAGCTTGTGCTAATCTGTCTATGTTTAAAGAAGCAATGCAGATCCATTGCTGGATTTTAAAGATCGGACTCTATTCAGATTCAGCAGTGAAAGCATCTTTGATAAATATGTACTCAAAAATTGGAGTGGTTAATTTATCTGAGATGGTGTTTGCAGAGACTCAAAGGTCGAAACAACTAGGAGTTTGGACTAATATGATATCTGCATTTGCTCAGAATGGAAGTTCTGAAAAAGCAATTAACTTGTTTCAGATAATGTTGAAAGAGGGTATGACACCTGATAAATTCAGTACTTCCAGTATCTTGAGCATCGTGGACTGTCTAACTTTAGGAAGACAGATTCATGGTTATATTCTTAAAGCTGACATGGCCTCTGATGTTTCTGTGGGCAGTTCTCTTTTCACGATGTACTCAAAATGTGGTAACTTAGAGGATTCTCACAAAGTTTTTGATCAACTCGAAGGTAAAGATAACGTTTCATGGGCCTCTATGATTGCTGGCTTTGCAGATCATGGATTAGCAGATAAGGCAATTATGCTGTTCAGAGAGATGTTGTTTGAAGAATTCATTCCTGATGAAATGAGTTTATCTGCTGGTCTAAGCGCATGCTCTGCTCTTCGTTCCTTGGAGATAGGCAAAGAAATTCATGGGTTTGCTCTTCGATATGGCTTTGGTGAGCAGATGATCATTGATGGGGCACTCGTGAATATGTACTCAAAATGTGGTGATCTCAATTCAGCAAGGGTAGTTTTTAGATTGATGCCTCTTAAAGATCAGGTTTCTTGTTCCTCATTAGTTTCAGGGTATTCCCAAAGTGGGTATATTGAGGAGGCTCTGCAGCTTTTCCATGAAATTCTTCTAGCTGATTTGAATATTGATGCCTTCACAATTTCGTCTATACTTGGGGCTGTTTCTTTCTTAAATATACCAGACATTGGTACTCAGTTGCATGCACGTATTATAAAAATGGGAGTAGAATCAGAAGCTTCAGTAGGAAGTTCACTTGTTACGATGTATTCAAAATGTGGAAACTTCGAAGATTGCAGTAAAGTGTTCCAACAGATAAAAAATCCTGATTTAGTTAGCTGGACAACGATGATCACAAGCTACGCTCAACATGGGAAAGGGTCAGAAGCTTTACACATATATGACCTTATGAGAAAGTCAGAAATAAAGCCAGATTCGGTGACTTTTGTTGGCGTTCTATCTGCTTGCAGTCATTCAGGTTTAGTTGAAGAAGGGTATTTTCATCTAAATTCAATGTCTAAAGAGTATCGAATTGAGCCTGGTTACCAGCATTACGCCTGTATGGTGGATATTCTTGGCCGTGCAGGAAAACTAGAAGAGGCTGAGAAATTTATTTCTAACATGCCTATAGAACCTGATGCTTTAGTGTGGGGAACGCTACTTGCTGCTTGTAGAGTTCATGGCGATATTGAGCTTGGGAAGCTCGCTGCTGAAAAGATCATGGAATTAGGGCCTTCTGATGCTGGAGCTCATGTTTCATTGTCAAATATCTGTGCTGATGCAGGCCAATGGGAAGATGTACTGAAAATCAGAGCTTCCATTACAGAAACTGGAGTACAGAAGGAACCTGGATGGAGTTCTGTATGAAGCGTAGCCTTGCCCTTTGGGGTAAAGATTTATTATTTCCTGACCTTCACAAAATTTTCCATTTGAATATCATGGTTTTCATTAAGTCATATCACGCCACAAGCACTTAAAAACAATGTACTTTAAACTGTAATTAAAAGTAGAGCTAATATGGGATACAAATATCAAGATTTTCAACCCTTTAGCTTCTTTAACTTAGCTAAACGGGCTCTTATCCTTGAGTTTTTAAGCAAAAATATTTCCTTCAGCACGCTGATACTGCTATAGCAAAAGTGAAATAATGTATCGCATCACATGTTTCCTCATGCTTTCTTACCGTGCTTAATATCTGTTTTGCTGCAGATTACCCTTATCCCATTTTCTCCCCATGCTTTCTCACCTGGTGCCTGTAGTGATCCAGAGAACTGAAAAAGAGGCGCTTTTTGGGTATACTTAAGGAACGTGGTTCTTACTCATAGCCTCAAAGACCCTTAATCAGAGAGCCTCCATTTACATTTACAACGGGATCCAGATTAGAAAGGCTCAGTATTTTGTTTAAAAAGCTTAGAGATGAGAAGCCCTTTCCTTGTGGTTTATATGACAGATTGTCGAATATCAGTAAAGGCTGGATGTAAAACATTGCAGGTGCCGTTGAATGAAGATGAAACTGCTGAAGAATTGCAGAACAGAATTTTGCTCCAGCCACCTGAGGAAAGAGAAGCTATTCGCATAAAACCAAACCCAAACCTCAGAATTCAACCAATTTCCATAATCCAAGTGCTAAGAATACTACTAAGGAGAATAATTTAAACATAGGCCTAAGCAATGGTCTATGCTTGGAGATTAGTGGGAGAGGTCAACACACTGCCATTGAACTAGAAATTTTGGGATTACTGCCTTTTTTGGATGCTGCTGCTTCAAGTGATGGTTTTTGCATGAGTATTCTGTCAAGTGGGGATTTGCAGCAATGAGCGCCTTCTACTTATTCATGTCTGGATATTGTTCTCAACCCTCCAACCCCAAACTAGAACAAGATTACTCTGGTATATCGCTCAAATCCTGAGTATCGTGCCTTTACCTTTTCAAGGGTTGTGGAGTTACTTCTTCATTTTATTTATTTATTTATTTATTTTTGAGATCGTAGCTAAACTCACTTATCAAGTGCTCGGCTAACATATATTGAGATTTGTTGAAACTTGAAATATATCTTGACTAGTATTGAGAGTCTTAATATATGACAAGCACGATTCAAAATCGACCTGCTTCTACCATTGGACTGATTGGACTAAATAGTAGAGACCTCCGGTCTATGGAGCTGGTCCACACATGCCATAATAAATTGAATAATGCTTTGTGTACAATCAATAGTTGACAATAAATTTGACAATTCATGTTAATTCAAATTCGAATGGGCGGGAAAGTGTGTGGTATTTAAAAACTGGCCACTCAACTTTCAACATGTGGCACATTGTCAAACTTGATGTCAAAAAAATTGTACTTGTAGCATGGTTGATGTAGAAAGGATCAAGTTTAATANTCAAAAAAATTGTACTTGTAGCATTGTTGTAATAAATTTGTCACTAAATCTATATAAAAAAATTAGAAGATAGAACTTATTAATAATTGTGCTCAATTAATTATATGTAGAAAGGATCAAGTTTAATATAAGAGACATAACCACAAACTTATAAAAATTAACACAATTATTAAAATTCTTACAGAATCTCATACAAATTAAATAATTATGAAACTCATATAAATTAAAACAAATTGAAAGTAAATAAAATACCTATAAAAGAGAATAGTATTTGTCGCAATCTGACCGGTTGGCTTGGAAGCATGTTCACTAGAAAATCAATTTAGGGGCATGTTTGAGCCTCATTATTTGTGTAGAATATATTTTGAAATAGTAGATTTGTGGTTAAAAATGAATGAAAAGTTTTTTGAATTATATGTAATATTATTTTATTAAAAAATATGTAGTTGAAAAATAAGAGAGAGAGAGAGAGGGGAGATGTATTTTGAAAAATAGGGAGATCAAAAAGGTCCTAGTTAGTGTTGTAACATAAAAAAACAATTAAGTCTTGAATTTCAAAATTAAAGTTAATTTTTAATTTTCAGTTTTACTTTATTTTTTAATTTTCAAATTTGGTTTCAATTTTGTATTTAATTAGAAAATTAAAACTCTAATTTATAATATAACACATGAAATTCTGGCAAACAAGTCTTAAATTTCAATCGGTTTTACTCTAATTTTTGGCAACTCAATAAAGGTTTGTTCTTCATTTCCCTACGGTTGTGTCCATAGATGGAGAATCGGCTGTGAGTCATATGAATTTTATTTGGAGCCGTGTAGTACCGAAAGTACCCATATGAACGGAATGTAATACGATTTTAGGACAACGTTTTTGACATGACTCTCTAAGGCTTGCTTTCTAAATCTTATATTGAGTTATATGTTTATTGTTCAATTATATTATTTATATTTGTTATGTTAATCAATAATCTACACACAAATTACTCGTTTTTCCTAACAATCTAAAGTCATGATAGAGTGATTTTGCACAAAAAATAGTAAATGACCCTCAAAGTGCAGGAAATATGAAACTTTTGGAGAGAGAGTTTCTATTTCTCTTATTCATCAATTGAAAAATACAACTCTCTATATACTAAATGTAGAGACAAATCTGCTGTAATCAAGCACAATTCTTCAAATTTGATTCTAGGAAGTGCCTTGGTAAGAATATCCGTTCTTTGAAGTTCTGTTGGAGAATAGATCAAAGAGACTGTCCCCTCTTCCATTTTTTCTTTGATGAAGTGTCAATCTATCTCCAAGTGTTTCGTTCAATCATGGTGAACCAGATTCTTTGCAATTCTACTAGCAGCTTGAATATCACAAAACATTTGTATAGGACTTTCAATTGAAATTCTGAGCTCATCTAGAACCCTTTTCAACCACATTCTTTCACAAATTCCATGAGCCATATCTCGAAACTCTGCCTCAGCACTACTTCTTAACACAACTGATTGTTTCTTGCTTCGCCAAGTAACTAAATTTTCCCATACAAAAGTACAGTATCCAGAAGTAGATCTTCGATCAGTTATAGAGCCAGCCCAATCTGCATCAGTGTAAATGTCTACATTTCTTTTCGTAGTCTTACAAAAATAAAGTCCTTTGCCTGGTGTCATTTTAAGCTATTTTAGTATTCTGTAAACTGCATTCATGTGTTCTTTAGCTGGGTTATTCATGAATTGGCTTACTGTGCTAATTGCAAAGCTAATATCAGGTCTAGTGTGGGACAAGTATATGAGCTTTCCCACTAGTCTTTGATATCTCCCTTTGTCTACTGGTGTGATATCTTCCATAGAGCCAATTTTTATAGTGCAATCCATAGAAGTGTCTACTGGTTTACTCCCTAACATCTTTGTTTCTTTTAACAGATTTAAGACATACTTTCTTTGAGAAACAGCTATGCCTTTCTTTGACCGAGCAATTTCCATTCCAAGAAAGTACTTGAGATTTCCTAAATCTTTGATCTCAAATTCTTTGGCCAACTGATATTTTAGTCTACAAATTTCATCATCTTGGTCTCCAATTAGAATGATATCATATCCACATGCACAATAATTGTTGCTATTTTTCCCCCAAGAAAGTGTTTAACAAACAAAGTGTGATCTGATTGACATTGAGTGTAACCATACCTTTTAACTGCTTTCGTGAAGCGATTGAACCAAGCCCGATGAGACTGTTTAAGACCATAAAGAGATTTTCTGAGTTTGCAGACTTTGTTGATATTTCCTTTTGTTTCTAGGCCAGAAGGAATATCTATATACACATCTTCTTCCAGATAAACGTTAAGAAATGCATTCTTAACATCAAGTTGATGGAGTGTCCAATCTTGATTTGCTGCTATGGATAACAATACTTGGATTGTGTTCAACTTTGCAACATGAGCAAATGTTTCTTGATAATCAACACCATATGACTGAGTGTACCCTTTTGCAATCAGTCTTGCTTTGAATCTGTCTTTGCTCCCATTTTCCTTGTATTTGACTGCAAATATCCATTTGCATCCAACTGCCCTCTTTCCTTCAGGTAAATAGGTGATTTCCCATGTTCTATTCTTCTCTAGTGCTCGGATTTCTTCTTCAACTGCTATCCTCCATTCAAGTGATTGAAGGGCTTCCTGAATGTTGTCAGGAATCTGTATATCTGTCAAAGTAGTGGTGAAAGCATGGAATCTAGGTGAGAAGCCATCATAGGAAATGAAATTATAAATGGGATGTTTTGTACAAGATCTATATCCCTTCCCGATTTCAATTGGTACATCCAGATCATCACCTTGACTTTCACTCGGAATAGATGAAGATTCAGGGTTACCTGATTGTATTTCCTTTGGTTCTGGATTCAGATCAGCTTCATGAATTTGTTCAAATTGTGTTCGTGTGCTATGTCTTCTTGATTCTTCTTCTTTTTTCCTGGAATATACAATGACCTCATTATTATTGGTAGGATTTTCTTGAGACTCAACTTGTAAAGGTTACAAAGGCTCATATGTAGAGTTCATGGATATTTGTGTTGGAAAATTGGAATTGAATTCTAAATAAGGATTATGGTTGTTCTCAGTTTTCCAAAAGGGATATTCATATGTCACATTCTCCCTCTGAATATCAATTTTTGGAAAGAATGGTTGTTTTTCAAAAAAGGTGACATCCATAGAGGTGTAGAACTTTCTAGGCCATGGGGAATAGCATTTGTAACCCTTCTGATTGGCTGAGTACCCAATAAACACGCACTTTATAGCTTTAGGATCCAATTTACTTCGGTGTTGAGAATGTACATGGACAAATGCTGAACAACTGAAAACCTTTGGTGGAATATTGGAGAAAAGTCTAGTGTTGGGATGAGTTTTCAGAAGGATTTGCATGGACTTTGGAAGTGAAGGACACGCAAGGGCATTCTATTGATAAGATAAGTTGCGGTTAGTACAGCTTCTTCCCAGAAATATTTTGGCACATTGGTGGAAAACAAGAGAGATCGACAACTTCTAATAGGTGTCTATTTTTTCTCTCGACGATTCCATTTTGTTGGGGGTATCTATACATGAGCTTTGATGAATAATTCCCTTTTTTTCAGAAAATCTCCCAAAATTGAGTTGAAGTAATCTTTGGCATTGTCTGTTTTTAGGACTTGTATCTTGGTTTGAAATTGGGTTTGAATCATAGCGTAGAAATTTTTGAAAATTTGAAGTGACCTCCGATTTTTCCTTCATAAGAAACGCCCAAGTCAGTCTAGTGTGATCATCAACAAATAAAACAAACCATCTTGATCCAGTCACATTTTTAATTCTAGATGCTCCCCAAACATCGCTATGAATCATAGAAAATGGCTTTGAGGATTTATAGTGTTGGACAGGATAAGAATTATGTACTTGCTTGGCTAACTGACAAATTTTACATTGATAAACATTAGACTCTTTATTGAATAATGATGGAAAAAGTTTCTTGAGGTACAAAAAATTAGGATGACCAAGTCAATAATGCCATAGCTTAAGAGCACTATCATTATTTAAATTAGAAACAGACAAAACACTTTTTTCAAATCCTATATGTTGAGGTTGTTGTTCAGGAAAATTGGAAGTCTTGATAACATAGAGCCCCGAACACACTCTAGCATTGCCAATCATCCTCCCCAAATCCAAATCCTGAAAAATACAATCATTTGAGTAACATTTAGCTACACAAATTTTCTCTTAAGTGAGATTACTAACAGATAGAAGGTTACAATCCAGATTAGGGACCAAAAGAAC